CCACTACCCTGGGATGTAATTAGTTTTATACCCTCTCAATTTGAAGAGTCTTCTCTTTGATAGGGAATATCAAAATAAAATTAGATTCTGTTAGCAGACTCTCAGTCTTATTGTCACTGTTAACAGTCCTGTCTTCTTCTCCAACCAGCAAATTCCTTCTCCTGATTTCCTTGCTAGATGGCACCTCTGTAGAGTTTGGTTAGTCTTTTACATGACTCATGAATCTCACCTCATCTGAGCCTTGGCTACCCTGACCCCTTTTTTTTTTTTTTTTTTTTTTTGTATTTCAGGGAAGGGTCTATGGGGTGTTCAGGGTCTCACTACTAGATAGAACTCATAGTGATCCACCTGTTTACAGCCTCCCAAGAGCTGGGATTACAGGTGCACACCACCATGGCCAGTCTCAATTGCCATCTCAGTGTACCCCAGGGGCGGGGCCAGCACAGCAGGCCCGGGGATCAAACCCCTAATGCCTGCTTGCAGGTGCTTTAACCCACTGAGCTATTTGGCTGGCCCCCCTGACCCATTTTTTAACAGTCCTCTGAGCTCTGAGGAACACAGTGTTGCATTTGTGCTTCTCCTTCTACATTCTGCCTCAGCTCTACACACTGCTAAAGAGCTCGAGAGAAGTATAAGGTAGAGTTCCTCCTCTACTGAGCTCATCTCACGGTGAGAGATAGAAAGACACTGCCATGCTGGATGGCACACATCCCATTGAAAGTACACAGGAGAAGAATTCAGTGGGAAGGAGAAAAACCTAGGAATGCTTCCAGGAGGAGGTGGCATGCCCTCTGGGGGTAAATGGAGCTGTCTGGGTAAGCAGGGGCATGACAAATGGTGAGGAGCACATTTCACGTGGTATACCAGAAGCAAAGCATAGAGATACTTGGCAGGGCTGGGGAGATAGCTCAGTGGGCTCAGCACCTGCCTGGCAAGCACAAGGACCCAGGTTCCTTCTGTAGAACTGTGTGCTGTGCCTGGCCCAGAAACTGGGTGTGGTGGCACACAACTGTCATTCCAGCACCGGGGAGGCTGAGACAGGAGGATCACTATGAGTCTGAGCTGTGAAGCAAGACCCTGTACCAAAAAATAAAAATTTAAAAAAAACTTTAATGATAGGGGCTGGGGAGATAGCTCAGTAGAATAAGCGCTTGCTTGGCAAGTGCAGGGTCCTGAGTTCAATCTCCAGTACCATAAAAAAAAAAAAAATTAATGATATAATTGGCAACTATGAGAAGCTGAAAGAGAGTGCAGCAGAGGCTGGACGGCAGGAGGAGCCTTAGAATGGATGCCTATGCCCAGCCTCTATGGACCTGACTTAGAGAGTGAGGCGTTTGAAGAGGACAAGTGGCATGATGGGACTGTCATTTCCCAGAGTTGGGGTAATGGATGGGTCAGAGGAAGGCAAAGCCAGAGAAGGGGAAGCCTGATGCTTCTTTTGTGAGGAATGCTGATGCATGAGGTGGTGGGAGCGGGACTGGAAAGAGCCTCTGCGCACACCAGAGAGCGGCACCCTCTGAGCAGATGCACCTGCCCAGTGCAGCCAGGCTGGATGCACGTGGGGTGCTCTCAGGGGCCCGGGCTGAGGGCGAGAAAGAGAGCATGATAGCAGGCTGACTTGGTTACCCACGCCAAGAGCTTACAGCTGCTCTGCTGGTGGCCGGCCACATGAGCCCCCCCCACGTCCTTCATCACAGGACCCAACCTCTCCCCCACCTCCTGGGGGGTTCACAGGACCATTGTGGGAAGCCATCACCCACACACAGACTTACTAGGAACTTACAAGAAGCAGATGCCCAGAGCTCCCACAGGTGGGAGCCTTTCATTTGATCCTAAGTGAAAACAAATGTTCCAAAAACACGCATCCTCTGGTTGGTGCCAAGAGCCGTGTCAAATGTTACCCTACATCATCATCTCAACGTGGGACAGGTCTGTTCTTCCTTCATAACTTTCCAGGGCCTCATTCAATACACACTTATTGGCACCAAGTTATTTGCAAGGTTCTAACTTCTGCACATAAAGAGAAGACAAGCTCAGACCATCTGTACTGAACCTGAATTTCTGCCAGGGGGAGGCAAGACGAGGGCCACCTGTGCTTCTCATTCCTGGAGACCGAGCCCTTGGCTCTGACTCCTGGTTCTATTGCTTTTAAAAGTTATGTAAATCCTCTGTATCTTAGTTTTCTCATGTATAAATTGGAGATAATAATAAGGCCTGCTTCACAGAGTGTTGTGAGGAAAGGCTTCATATATGTTATATGCGCTCACGTAATATCTAGCAGATAGTGAGTACTCCAGCAGTGTTAGCTGTTCCTATTATTTGTTTGGCGTTATACTGTATTTTAGTAAAGATTGTACTCCCCTCAAAAAAAGTTATACCCATGGCTGATAAAAAGATGCCAATGACATGAAAATATCCCGTAATCTTGAAACTTGAGTTGAAAAGCAAGTTACTGTGTGCTTTCTCTCTGAGGACCTCTATGGAACGGCAAGGATTATTGCCGAGTTCCTTACTTTTCCTTTATGCATGAGTCTCAGTTACCTTTCTCTCATTGTTGGGACAAAACAACAACACCCCAAGTTAAAGAAGGAAAGGTTTACTTAGCTCACAGTGAATGGAGGTTTCAGTCCAAACGGCTGGCCCCACGGCAAAGTGGTACATGGCAGCGGGCAGCGGCTCATGGTGGCAGAAAACAGCAAAGAGCAAAGGGAGGAGCAGCAGCTGAGGCAGCTAGCAGGCCTCTCTCCCTCCCTTCCACTGTATGCAGATTACCCACCCCAGGGTGGGTGTAGCACTCACACCCATAATACCAGTGCTGGATCATGAATTAATTACAAACTCTAGAAGCTGCCCCAATGACTGCATGAGGCCTGGGGGGAGGGACAACTAGACACAAACCATAAGAGCATGTATTGGGCAGGGTTTTAGTAGAGAAACAGATAAAGCACAAGATGTACAAATGTATGAGAAATGCCAGGATTGGCTTACCGTGGTCAGCCTGTTAAAGAGCCGGATGAGGAAGTGTGCAGAGGGCGCCTGCACACTGGAGGCTCAAGGGTCCAGTCCAAGGTCTGGAGCCCACTGCCGTGTCCAGGCAAGTTTGAGTCAGGAGGCTGATGGGGGTGGGATCTAAGACTGGAGGTGGGGAAAGCCCCCGAGAGCAGAGTCCCTTCCAGTGCCTTGCACAGAGCGGGACCAACAAAGTCTCAGCACTTGTTAAGTGAAACGAGGGAAGAACCAGCTCCTTAAGTTGGGTTCCTGAAAAGAGAGATGGGTGGGACTCTACAAGGAGGTCAGACAGAAAACAAACTTGTCCCGTGGCCCACCCCAGCCTTATTCTTCATGACAGGGATCAAACTCAGGGCTTCATGCATGCTCGGCAAGGGTCTGTCACAGAGCTACATCCCCTCACCCATTTTATCTTGAGAGAGAGTCCTTGGACTGGACCCTTCAGCTTCCAGTATGTGGACGGCCTTCTGTGCCAGAAGGTGCCAGGGCCCAAGGCCGAAGTTGGAGCATCTGCCTTGGAAGCCAGGCGATGATGTGCACACTGAAGGCCAACACTGGGGTCCCTCCAGAGTACAGAGGCCAGGCTGGCCTCCTCGCTTCCCATTTACTGTCCAGGTGACGAGCAGCTCTAGGGTGTGGAGTAGCTGAGCTGACTTAGTTAAGCCCTCAAACTTGTCAAGTGCACACAATCAACCACTACTATGCAAAATCTATTTTGTAATTGTTCTCACATGGGTAAACATTTAACAACAATGAGAAAGATGTTAGGAATCCTCTGTCTCAATCTTCTCCAGGCTAGAATCTAAGCATCGCAGAGGTAACAGTGACAGCCACTCAGAGCGGGACAAAGCTGTGTTGCCCATGTGCAGTTCTATCCAGTCCTGCTGGAAGTTCAGGGCAGAAGTGGGCCAATGCTCTGGAGACTAGGGTGGGAGGATTATGAGTTTAATGTCAACCCTGGCAATTTAGCAAGACTCTCTCTCAAGATAAAATGGGTGAGGGGATATAGCTCCATGGCAGACCCTTGCCGAGCATACATGAGGCCCTGGGTTCGATCCCTGGCATGAAGAATAAGGCTGGGGTGGGGGATGGGACAAGTTTGTTTTCTGTCCGACCTCCTTGTACAGTCCCACCCATCTCTCTTTTCAGGAGCCGACCTTAGGGAGCTGTTCCCTCGTTTCACTTAACAAGTGCTGAGACTCCGTTGGCCCAGCTCTGTGCAAGGCACTGGAAGGGACTCTGTTCTCGGGGGCTTTCCCCACCTCCAGTCTTAGATCCCCACCCCCTCAGCCCTGTAGAGTTCACACCTGCCTCTGCTCCATTTTGCTGCCGATAACATAATCCCTGTACATCTGCCCTAATGTGTCCTTGTCTATCAGTGGCGTCCCAGCAGGAAACAGCACTGCACTCAGAAGGCTTAACTAATGAGAGCGGAATGAAAGGACAGCTCACGGAGATGTGCGCGGAGAACTAACCAGGCATGCTGACACCGACGCTGGGGAGCGGGACGGCATGACCGCCCTGCGCAGAATCACACATCAAAGAGGCCAATGCCTGACATCAAAGAGGGGCGAGGATAAGCAATAAATAGCCTCACTTCTCCGTCCTCTTCCTGCTTCACCTGAAGCGTGACCCCATAACCAGCAGACGGCAGGGCCAAGAGAAACCACCTCTCTAGGTTGCAATGCACGGCCTTTAAGAACTAACCCCCTGCAAGAGCCGGGGCAGTTTCAGGCCTGGGTCCGTGGGTGAGGGGAATGTTAAGCTGCACTTCCTCAAATCAGCTTTCTAAATAATTATTTTTCCAGGCCCTGTTCATGTGGGTAGTTGGCAAATGTTCATTGCAACGGTAACCGAACAAACTAAAATTTCATCTTTTCGTACCTTATTCTGGTTAAATTTGAGGCCAATTTGGAGGACCCAAGGGGTGCTTTGATGGTTTGAGTACCTTACTGTCTATAGAATGCCTTTATTTTTTATTTTCACAGTAGGCCTCAAAGACAGAGACGAGAAGCACATGACGATGCCCACAAGCAAGGCAGGTATGGCCCTCAGTGTGTGTGAACTGTTCTAAATGGGTGTCTAAGGGCCGGCCAGATAGCTCAGCGGATTAAAGCACCTGCTTAGGCAGATGCAGGGACCAGGGTTCAATCCCCCGTTTGCTGTGCTGGCTCTACCCCTGTGGTGCACTGAGACCGAGATTGAGACTGGGCATGGTGGCACGTATCTGTAATCCCAGCGCTTGGGAGGCTGAAAACAGGAGGATCACTACAAGTCCAATATGTGTAGTGAGACCCTGTACACCCTGTATTAAATACAAATAAATAAAAATAAAATGGGTGTCTTCCTTGCACCTATAATGATTTTCAGCAAGCAAAGGTTGTGGCCAAGAGGAAGAGAGACTAAAAGGAAGTAGACATCCCGGATCAGGCTGCCAGGGAGGGGGGTGGGGCAGCAGCGTTTCTCACCCTTGCTTGGTGTTCACAGCTGCCTACTCAGGTCCACAAGCAGGAGGCTGACCCTCCTGGGCTCCCAGGGGCACCTTCTTCCTTGCAGAAGGATGTTCTTTGGCTCCTTCCCTTTACCAACCACTTTCTAGTTTCAAAATTCCTCCAGTACACACTATCCCTTTCAATCCTCTCATCCCAATCCAGCCACAAAGTTCTACTTTTAGCCAGCTGGGAAAACTAAGTCTCAAGAAAGCAAACAAGTGGAGTAGACGCAGGCAGCTGTAGCAGGCAGCTTTGATAAGGCCCTGAAGGCTGGGCTGAGCCAGCCACCCAGGAGGAGCCTGGGCACTGTGTGCAGGAGGAAATGCTCGTGGCGGACCCTCCCTGTGCTGGCTCCTGACCCATAGCATCAGCAGCTTTGACATCGAGTTGGTAATGCAAATTCTTGGGCCTCATCCCAGATCTACAAGTCAAGCACTGCAGGGAGCAGGGAGGTTAGTAATGCAGGTTCTGACCACCTGCCAGGGGCAGCGGTCAGGCCAACGCCCAGAGAGCAGGCCTGTGTGGCTCCGTACTCAGGAGGATGCAGCCTTCTGTCAGCACAGGGAGGAGCTAGGAAGATAACTACTTCTGAGGGCTCCAAGGTGGTGCTTATGAGTAAATGGAACATGGTCAAGGCCACTGAAGTTTTGCTTGTAATGGCAAAAGAGTGTGAGTGACTCCAGGTTGTCTATCATAGCTGATGGTGTGTCCTTTCCAGAAATCTATGCAGCAAAAAAACCTCATGGCAGAGTCAATACAGGAAAGCAGGGTGCAGAAGAGTTTATACAACATGAACTGTGTTAAAAAGGGAGAGAACTAAGAGTATACATTTATATTTACTTATCTCTATAAGAAACTTTGGGTCAGCAAGATATCGAGATAGCTCAGCAGATTAAGTACCTGCTTTGGCAAGCCCAGGGACCAGGGTTCAAAGCCCAGCCTCCCATGCCATGCCAGCCCTGCTTCCAGGGCACACTGAGCCAGTGACCAAACCCAGGGGTGGTGGAACATACCTGTAATCCCAAGGCTGGGGAGACTGAAAACAGGAATATTACTACAAGTTTGAGCTGCAGAGTGAGACACTGTACCAAATACATAAAATGAAAAAAAGGAAGAAACTTGGATTTTTATACTGCAAATGTATGAATAAAAGTTAAAAAGAGGGCTGGTGAGATGGCTCAGTGGTCTAAAGCACCTACTTGGAACAAGCTTGGGAAAGCACAGGGACCGCGGTTCGATCCCCCAGCACCACATGCCAGCCTGCCCCGCCCCCTGGTAGGCTGAGCTGGCCACACATACACACATACACACACACAATAAGTAAATAAATAAATAAATAATTGTTTAAAAAAAAAAAGTTAAAAAGAGGGCGGGATAGCTCAGTGGACTAAAACACCTGCTTAGGCAGAGCACAGTGGGCAGGTTCAATCCCTGGCCTGCTCTGCCAGCCCCGCCACCAGGGCATGCTGAGATGGCAAACAAGACTGGGTGAGGTGGTGTGCACCTGTAATCCCAGTGCTTGGGAGGCTGAAAACAGGAGAATCACTATGAGTCCGATCTATATAGTGAGACCCTATAGACCCTGTACTATATACATTAAAAAGAAAGAAAAAAGGAAGGAAAGAAGCTCTAGACACATAGACCAGAAAATCAGTAAGAGGGCTGGTGAGATGGCTCAGTGGTCTAAAGCACCTACTTAGAACAAGCTAAGCTAAGCAAAGCACAGGGACCACGGTTCAATCCCCCAGCACCACACGCCAGCCAGCCCTGCCCCCTGGTGGGCTGAACTGGCCACATACAAAATAAATAAATAAATAAATAAATAAATAAATAAATAAATGAAAATCAGTAAGAATAACCCCTGCTTTGGCAAGAGATGGGGAGAGGATGGGGTACAGAGGCAGAGGGAGTAGGTAGAAGGGGAGGCTTACTTTTGACTGCAAGTTACTATACATTGTCACACCCTGTAGATATATTACCTGTTTATAAGAAGTGAAAGAGCTGGGGAGATGACTCAGTAGAATAAGTGCTTTCCTGGCAAGCACAAGGGCCTGAGTTCAATCCAGGGTTCCGTCAAAAAAAAAAGAAGGAAGAAGTGAAAGTAAGTAAAGTTACCCTAAGTGCAATTCAGAGGCTACCTCACAGAATGGGGCCAGGGCAGGTGATGGGAGATTAAGTCCCCTTTCCCCTCCACAGTGCAGCCAAGACAGATCCAGGGTCCCCGGCCCAGCCACTGGCTTCCCCTCCAACCCACTCCCCAGGGCACTACAAGACCAGAACAAGTAGTTGTCAGTCTTGGCTACACATTCATATCCCCTGGGAAGACCCCACCCCATTGGACTAGGACTGCTGGGGATGATACCCACAGCTCAGCTCACGCTAGTATACTCCCAACCAGGGGAGCTATTGTTTTTATTTTTTAATTGATTAATTAATTAATTCATTCATTATTTGGTACAGGATCTCACTATGCAGATGCCGGCAGGGCATGCAGTACCAGCCATTGAACCTGGGCTTGCCAGGCAGGTGCTTAGACTGCCAAGCTATCTTTCTGGCCCAGGGAGTTTTTAAAAAATCTCATTTTCCAGACCCTATTCCAAGAACCCCCAAATCAGAATCTCTGAGGTAGGGTCTGGGCATCTTTATTTTAAAAACTGCTCCACTGTAGTTAAGAATCGCTATCTTGGGCTTTGTGGGTCAGTTTACTTATCCAGGAAGCTGGAGAAAGGGACAGGAATTCTCCAGCAGCTACAGGAAGAACTGACACATCTTGCCAGACTTGTCAGAATCACGTAGGAATGCCAAGGGATTTTATCTGTCTTGGTTAGAATGTGCTCTCCACCTGTTTCTTCCCTGGCCCTCGGCAGCCCAATTCTGAAGCGCAGCCCTGACATCACCAAGTCACCGCTGACGAAGTCCGAGCAGCTGCTGAGGATAGACGACCATGATTTCAGCATGCGCCCTGGCTTTGGAGGTAAGAAACACACGCCTTTCGGATGTGTCTTCTTCTTAGGGTCCTTCTAGCTGTCCACGGGTAGAAAGTCAAGGCCAGGGGTGGGGAGATGGCTCAGCAGAATAAGCACTTCCTTGGCAAGCGCAAGGGCCTGAGTTCAATCCCTGGTTCTACAAAAAAAAAAAAAAAAAAAAGAGAGAGAGAGAGAGAAAGAAAGAAAATCAAGGCCAGCAGCTGCTGGGCTCTGCTCTCCCCAGATCAGGTAGATAAAGCCCCAGGCTCGCAGCACCTTCTGAGTGTCTGCCCTCCCAGCTCTGGCTCTGCTGAGCACACACTCGGGAGCACCTGCCACTGGCAGCCAGGCTAGGCTGGCCAGGTGCTCCCCAGGCCTCTGCTCCTGAGGACAGCCCTAGTCAGCAAGACCAACATCCAGCTGGGGGAACACGGGGCAGCTGCAGCCCAACGCTTCCTCCTGAAAATATCTTGAAATTTAGTCCAACAACCTTGGGCTGTTTGCCCTCCTCTAGAAGCTGACAGATGAGCTCTGTGCAAGGGTACAGTGTGGTCTGCTGGGTTTAATTAGATGAAAATAGCTTGAGAAAATAATGATTCAGTGCAGAAAAATGCCAAAGCCCTTAAGGCTTAGCCTGCAGCTGCTGGGTTTCTGCCTGCTTAGTGTCAAAGAGGGTTTTCCTCCTTTATGGGCTTTAGATATTTTTCCTAGAGAAAAAAATTGCTTTAGAACTCATTCTCATGCCTTTATTTTTTCCGGTGAGCTTCACCCAAAGGACAAGTAGATTCTGGAAGGGAATCTCTACTCCATAATCTGTTGTTGCCGGATTCGACTCCCCTTTTCAATCTATGATTCAAGGGCATTCCATGCCTGCCCCACATCCTGGAAGTGGGGGAAACGGGCCAAATCTATTTATGAAGCTTTTTTATTTCTCATCTTTAAGTTTGTGCCATCCAGAAATAATACCAAATCTAAAGTTTTTAAAGGCCATTCTGATGCATTGTGCTGTTCCGTTATGTAGCAAGGATGCAGATCTATGTTTGACAAGTGATTTGAATCTGACTTTAGTTCCAGGTACTGTTACCAAGCAGTGCCGCTCACAGCCGGGCAAGAGCCACTGGCTTCTGTGAGGAAAGAGGGTGAAGGACGGAAGTAAATACAGAAAATAAATGGGTGGCTTCGTACCAAGGAACAAGTCCTTAGATCCGACCCAGCCTTTGCCTAGGTCTTTATCATGAGTATATGAAACAAAAGTTGAACGCTACGTAGTGACCTCATTGTTTTAGAATCATCTGGATGATTTAGACTAAAACACGATGGGAGGGAAACAGAGAGGCCTTGGGAAATTCCAGGGAGCCAACCCGCAATTGCGTCTTGGTTTAAGTTCAGGTTGGCATGACCAAACCTTCAAATCTGACATGACTCTGAGTTCAGGTTAAATACTTGTTTGCCTATGTTTATAGTGCATGGCATGGTTTAAATATACTTCCAAATTTTTAATTTTTAATTTCTTTTTTTTTTTTTTTTTGGCGGAACCGGGGATTGAACTCAGATCCTTGCGTTTGCCGGTCAAGTGCTTATCCTATTGAGTCATCTCCCCGGCCCCAAATTTTTAATTTCTTGATTGATTTAAAAGTGAATGTACCTGGGCTGGTGAGATGGCTCAGTGGTCTAAAGCACCTACTTAGAACAAGCTAAGCTAAGCAAAAGCAAGGGACCGCGGTTCAAATCCCCCAGCACCACATGCCAGCCCCCAGGTGGGTTGAGCTGGCCACACACACACACAAAAAAAAAATAAAATAAATAAATTTTTTTAAAAAAGGTGAATGTACCACATGCTGCACTGGCCCCAACCCCGGGGCAAGCTAAACCAGCGACTGAGTCTGAGTGTGGTGGTGCATGCTTAATCCCAGCATTGGGGAGGCTGAAAACAGGAGGATTACTATGAGTCTGAGCTGCATAGTGAGACCCTGTACCAAATACATAAATGAAAAAAAAAAAGTGAATATAAAGGACAAGATAACAAAGATTTTTTCTACTTTTATATATTCATAAAAAGGGTGTGGTTTAAAGTTCAAGAGAAAGAATAAATACTCTTGCTACCCTGTGCGCAGGCCCAGCCATTCCCGTTGGTGTGGATGTGCAGGTGGAGAGCTTGGACAGCATCTCTGAGGTTGACATGGTAAGTGCTGCCCTGACAAGCGCTGTGGGCAGGGAGCTACACATGGGTCTGTCCCCGCTGGGCCCCCGTGCGCCTGCAGCTCCTTGGCCTCGTATTTCCCCTGGGAGGGGGAACCTCATTCATTTTATAGATGGTCCAGGCCAAATGATGACACTCGCTGAAAGCTGCTTCCTGGTGTGGGCCAGGGCCAGATGACAAGCTTGATCTTCCCACCCCCGTGCCCAGGTTCTGCTATCAGGACGCCTATTCTGTGCAAAGGCTCTCAGATGGGAAAAGCACGGCCTAAGACTGGGCCACCAAGTAGCCAGGCCAAGCTGATTCTCTGTGGAGCTCTACAAATGCAGAAGCAAGAGTACTCTCCTTTATTCCAATTTGGTGGAGTCAGATAAAACACGGACTATTTCACGCTGAACTCATAGGACTTCTTAGGACATCACCTTTGGTTTTGGCTCCCCAAGAAGCAGGCCTGAGACGAGCATTGTGGCATAATTAGTTCTATTTGGAGGCATTCCTGGGAACACTAAGCAGGGCCAGGAAGTGAGACAGGAAAGAGGAAGAGGCAAACAGGGTTGTGCTGTCAAGCCAGCCACTCCTCTGGGGCCCAGTCTGACTGGGACTCTCCAGGAAGGAGCAAATAGACCACTGAGAGTTAAGGGAGCTGGAGCACTAACCCACCGCCTTCTTCTCTGGTGGCTGGAGTGCGTTGGTGTCACAGCTTGCAGCTTGAGTGTCAGTGTGGGCAGCAGCAGCTTCCCCACGGTACAGGCCAATGGCAGGGTGGCATGGGCTCCTGAACACCATCAGCTGCAGGCCTCCAGCTGAACGCCTCCCTGTTAGCGTCCTCTTTCCCTTGTAGGATCGAGAAGCAAGGCCTGGCTGGGCTCAGTTTCATTCCCAGCCAAGCAATGGCTTGACCTGGGCACAGAATCCCCCACTGACCCTGTGTGGCTTCCCTCTGCCCTCTGCCCCAGGACTTCACCATGACCCTCTACCTGAGGCACTACTGGAAAGACGAGAGGCTGTCTTTTCCGAGCACCAACAACCTCAGCATGACATTCGATGGCCGGCTGGTAAAGAAGATATGGGTCCCCGACATGTTCTTCGTGCACTCCAAGCGCTCCTTCATCCACGACACCACCACTGACAATGTCATGCTGCGTGTCCAGCCTGACGGGAAGGTGCTCTACAGCCTCAGGTGAGAGGAAGGCAGGTCCCATAGCTTTGCAGAGACGGACGTCACCTCACACCAGCCATTTTGCTTTTGGGCTTTGAGTGTCTGACTTTTCAGCACCTGCCAAATTTGTCAACATCAAGGAAAACCAACTTTACATATGACTAGAAATTTTAAAGGATTACTCAAATTAGAAAGATATTTGGGGAATTTTCTCAAGGTATTTATGGCCTATGCCTTATCCTAGATATTTTAAGATTTTAAAGTTTCCTTTGATAAAAATAATTTAACTTTATGTGGTGGCACTTTCCTACAATCCCAGCATTGCACAGGTTGAGACAGGAGGATTCCAAGTTTGAGGCCAGCCTGAACTACATAGTGAGACCCTGCCTAAAAACAAACAAACAAACAAACAAACAAACAAACAAAAATCCCTTTTCTGATCTCTGGTTCCCAGTTTTTGGGCAAACACTTAGGATTTTAGTTTTTAAAAAATCTTTTGCCCCATCTTGCCAGCCACAGGCCTGGATAAACTTTTTCTGTCCTGAAAAACTATGGGGGACTGCAGAGATAGCTCAGTGGACTAAGCGCCTGCTTAGGCAAGCACAGGGACCAGGGTTCGATCCCCAGCACCACATGTCTGCCAGCCCTGACCCTGGGCACTCTGAGCTGGCCACAGAGACCAGGAGATGTGGTGGCACATGCTTGTAATCTCAGCACTGGGGAAGCTGAAAACAGGAAGACTGACTCCGAGTCTGAGCTGCATAGTGAGACCCTGTGCCAAATACATGACATTAAAACAACAACAATGGGGGCCGGGGAGATGGCTCAGTAGAATAAGCACTTCCCTGGCAAGCACAAGGGCCTGAGTTCAATCCCCGGTTCCACCAAAAAAAAAAAAAACAAAACCAAAAACAAAAACAAAGCTATGGAGCTCTGGGTCACCTTATGACACTAAATGATGCTATGAACATCACTTTTATAAAGTCTAAAATCTTTCCTTCTCATGAATGTAGATGCCTTACAAATGTTTCACTGCCTCTGGAGTCCTGAACCACAGCAGTTTTCTCTCAACCCTGCATGCAGCATGATGTCATTTTCCTAGGAGGATGGGAAGGAGGTAGAGAAGCTCAGGTCCTCGTGGAAAAGGCATTCAGTCACTTGTGAGTGACTCCTCCTGTGCGGCACAGACATGCAGTTCAGGTTCCTGGACGCTGCTTTGGCCTGTGCCTTGGTGACTGTGAAAGACGGGCCCCTCCCACCTCTAATGTCTAAGAAGAGACATCCTGTGTGATCACACGGTGTATCTTTGGAGTCAGGGATGGTGAGGCTGAGTTTCTTCTCAGATATCACAAAGGAGTATTTACCCTGACCCCTCAATACTCACCCTGGCCTGACATCCAAGCAGTTAGCTACCAGCCTTAGAGAGAGATGATGGAATTTTCAAGGCTTAAAATAGCGTCTCCTGTCGAGGCCAAGGATGTAGGGCACATTCTCCCTGGAGCCCTCACTTCTGACAGGTTGTCAAGGTATGATAAGGTTAAAAGCCACCCACACAACTGTGGAGCAGCTCCAGAAAGGCAAAGAATGAGAACATAAAACACGTGACCATTGGTGTACTGACCTGCTTGCCTTGGGGAAGTACACAAAGAGTTTATTATAAGCATTACTGAAATAAAGCCTACTATTTACCAATCAAGTAATACTAAGAGTAATATATAATACTCTTTATTATAAATTCCATATACATATAATTGAAACATGAGTACTTGGTTTTTCTTGTCAAAATGAGAACCAGCGTTTATAATTCTATCACCAATGATAGTTCTGCAAAGGCAGACTGTGAGTACATGTTTGTATTCATTTTTCCCTATGATGTGATTGACAAGTGAGGGTAGACTGGATGAATACTGGTTGGATTTTGTGCGTGTTACTAAGACAAAAACAGAACAATGGCGGCCTATGCTGGAACTCTACTCACTTATCAAATAAGCAGTATTTTGTCTAAGCTGGAAAACACTTCAAATATAGAAAGAAAGAATATGTCCTTATTGTGCTGCACCATTAACACTCTAACAATATTAGGCACAAATTACGTTTGATTTTAAGGTGTTTTCTTGGTCTAGACAACTAATAGGCCAATAAATCAAGCCGTGGTGTGCTGATCCATGTAGAGCAGATATTCCCACCACAGATCATTCAAGGGGCCAACCTGATGACCCAGAAAGCAGAGCCGGGGAAGGCGTGGGCAGCACCGTACGCGTGGCTCTCCCGCCCGTGGGGCCCAGGAGACAGGAAGACGGACTTACACAATTAGGAACTGATGAGCTTTGAGTGCTATGACTTTTTTTCCCCAATGTAACAGTCTGAGTCCATTTATGCTGACATAATACCTGAGTATGGGTAATTACAAAGAACAGAGATTTAAGTGGACACAGGGGCAAATGCCTGTAATTCCAGCTACTTGCAAGGCTAAGTAAGGCAGGAAGCGCCCATGATTGAGCCCAGTTTGGGCAACTTAGTGAGATCCTATATCAAAATAATGATAATAGTAGTAGTAGTAATAATAATAATAATAATAATAATAATAATAATAATAAGCTGAAGGGAAGCTCAGAGGTAGAGCACTTTCCTGGCTTGTGAGAAGCCCTGGATTAATCCCTAGTACACAGAAAAATAATTAAGTGAAAAGAATGGAAATTTATTTTCTCAGAGTTCTGGAGGCTGGGAAGTACAAGACGCAAGTGTCAGCAGCTTTGGTGCGTGGTGAGGGCCTGTTCCTCACTGGTAAGGAAGAGAGACGGGGGAAGAAAGCCAGCAGGCTTCCTTTAGTTCTTCCTCAGGGCACTAATCCCATCCAAGGGGGCAGAGTCCTCATGGCCTAGTCACCTCCCAAAGACCAGCCTGGCCTCTTAATACCTTAATACCTAGCTTCTTCAACTTCATAGTTTCGGTTCTAACAAATGGATTTTGGAGGGACACATACACTCAAACCGTAGCAACAACTTATTTAATTTTAATTTTCAGGAATAGCTCTGCTCAGCAACTGACTTTCAGGCTTCTGAAAAATCTAGCAAGTGTAAAAGTCTAGTTTGGTGCACCGCTGGTGTGATCACAAGAAGCAGGACAGAGGAAATGGGAGTGGGGACCCCTATGTGTCCAGGAAAACTCCAGGGAGCTTCACCAAGAGAGACCCTTCTCTCCTGTCTTTGTGCCCCCAAAATAGATGATTTTATTTCTCTCTCTCTCTTTTTTTTTTTTTTTTTTT